CCCCAACTTTTTTTTTTATTTATTTTTGGGACAGAGAGAGACAGAGCATGAACGGGGGAGGGGCAGAGAGAGAGGGAGACACAGAATCGGAAACAGGCTCCAGGCTCCGAGCCATCAGCCCAGAGCCTGACGCGGGGCTCGAACTCGCGGACCGCGAGATCGTGACCCGGCTGAAGTCGGACGCTTAACCGACTGCGCCCCCTGCGCTTTCTTTCTAATGGAGGCCCTGAAAGAGAAAACCACTCAACGTGGAAAGCCTGACTCTTCAGCAGCAACGCGTTCAAAGAAAGATCTCGACCAAAGGACGAAATGTAAAAGTTGACAAAAGGAAACCTGTTGAAAATGTCAGGAGTCAGGAGCTCAGCAGAAGTTCCCAGCCCTATGGCTCCTCAGGTGCGCACTCAACGGGACGGGACGTACCCTGAAATACCACTTTGGCGACTACTTTATTACCTCTGCAGGAGAAGAAAGGGTTCCTCCTCACCCCACAACAGGCCAGTCAATGACACAGTCACGACTCGGCCAATGAAAAGCCGCTGTATTTTGAACCCCCGGTGTGCTCGGATCAAACTTTTGTTCAGAACAGCCCCTCCTAAGTCCCCCGCTTTCTTCTATAGGAGGAGCACTCCTCTCCTTTGTCCTCCGGTTGCCGATGGCCATGGCCATGCATGGCTTCCTTGTCCGGAACTGCACTTCTCTATTGCTGCAAAACTCATTTTTGCTGAAGAATTGGCAGTTTATTTTTAAGGATAACACGTCATTACTCAATAGCCCTATCCTTACAGAAAAAGGAAAAAATTATGTAAAAATTAAACCTACTTGCATGTTGGAAATAGACTTTGGTTCGTCCACGGATAAAAGTCGTCCAAATAGAAACACTAGCCTTTTACCAAGTGGAAAATTTTACCTGTTAAACTCAGAATCTGCTGCTTCGTGAGTACCTGTAATATTTTCCCACCTCAATGTTTACTTGCAAAACTAAAGTAGAAATCCAAACTACAGAGAATTCTTTTAAGAATGAGCCACTGTAGGGGCACCTGGGTGGCTCAGTCGGTTAAGCATCTGACTTCAGCTCAGGTCACGATCTCATGGTTTGTGAGTTCGAGCCCACTGTCAGTGCAGAGCTTGCTTGAGATTTTCTCTCTCTCCCTTCCCCTCACCCACTCTCACGCAAAATAAATAAATTTAAAAATAAAAAACAAAAGGGGGGCCCCCTGGGTGGCTCAGTTGGTTGGGCGTCCGACTTTGGCTCAGGTCATGATGTCACAGTTTGTGAGTTCGAGCCCCGCATCAGGCTCTGTGCTGACAGCTCGGAGCCTGGAGCCTGCTTCGGATTCTGTAGCTCCCTCTCTCTCTCTCTCTCTGTCTCTCTGTCTCAAAAATAAACATTAAACAAAACAAAAACGAGCCATTGTACCTTTTCCACAAAATATGTAAATCACACCATCAGGCTACATGCCTTAAACTTATGCAGTAATATGTTAATTTTTCCCAATAAAACTGGAAAAAAAAAGCCGCTGATGAAGACAATATTATGTATACTGTTAATAACGTTTCTTTCGTGTTGTGAATTTGGGGGAGTGTCATACACTAATTAATTTGCAGCAGGCTTACCCATATTACTTACAAAAATAGGATTTCCTTCCAGTGCAGTTTTCAAAGGACTTTGAAAACATTTGTTAAAATCAGAAGGTGTTCCTTTATAAAGTATCTATCCATTACACATTCTCTTGTGGCTTTGCAAGGAGGTGGGGCAAGTGAATTTTCCTACAATGTTTACATTCAAGACTACCCTCTCCAGTGTGGGTTCTTCCGTGGCTTCTCACGGACATGCACGGATGGCCTTCCCACGTCCCTTACATTCATATGGTTTCTCCCCCGCGTGCACCCGTGCGTCCTCGGAAGACTGTGATAAAGGAAGGCTTTCGCCACTTTCCTTCCGTTCGGTTTCTCTCTAGTAGGAGTTCCGTGTATATGAAGGTAACAGCGAGTAGGACTGGACCGTATTATTTGTGCACAGAGCGTTTCTCTCCAGTGTGAGTGATCTCGTGTGTTCAGAAAGAACTGGAACCGAAGGCTTTCGCACGTTCCTTACATTCATACGGCTCCGCTCCGCTATGAGTTCTCGCGTGGTTTCGTAGAGAACTGGAACGAGTAAAGGCTTTACCACAATGTTTACACTGATAGGGTTTCTCCCCGGTGTGAGTCCGTTCGTGTGTTCGCAACGAACTAGGACAGTCGAAGGCCTTCCCACACTCCTTACATTTACAAGGTCCATCTCCGGTGTGCTTTATCATGTGCCTTTGAACGTTTGAGAGAGTGATGAAGGCTTTCCCGCACTGCTTACATTCGTACGGCTTCTCTCCACTGTGGGTCCTTTCGTGCTTTTGCATAGAACTGAGATAAATGAAGGCTTTCCCACACTGCTTACATTCATACGGTTTCTCTCCACTGTGAGTTCTTTCGTGTTTTTGCATAGAACTGAGGTAAGTGAAGGCTTTCCCACACTGTTTACATTCATAGGGTTTCTCCCCGGTGTGGCTTCTTTCGTGTTTCTGGAGGGAACAGGGAAAACTGAAGGCTTTGCCACATTCCTTACATTCATGAGGTTTTTTCCTACTATGACTTCTTTCGTGGTTTTGAAGGGACATGGAGGAACTGAAGGCTTTGCCACACTCCTTACATCCGTATGGCTTTTCTCCACTGTGGATCTTTTCGTGACATCGAAAGTAATTGGGGCAGTCGAAGACCTTCCCGCACTCCTTACACTTGTAAGGTCCGTCTCCGGTGGCCTTCATCACGTGTCTTTGAAATATCGCGAGAGGACTCACGGGAACGTTCTCACAGTCGTTACATTCACAGGGTTCCTCGCCCGTGTGACTTCTCTCGTGTTTTCGAAAATACTTGGGACAACTGAAGGACTTCCCACAGATTTTGCATTCATAGGACTTCTCCCCGCTGTGTCTCCTTTCATGGTTTCGAAAGTACACGGGGCAGCTGTAGGTTTTACCGCATATCTTACATTCGTACGGCTTCTCGCCCCGGTGTCTCTTCTCGTGACTGCGGAAGGATCTAGGGCAGCTGAAGCCTTTACCGCACTGCTTACACTCGTAGGGTTTCTCCCCGGTGTGCGTTTTCTCATGTTTTCGAAAGTAATTTGGGCAACTAAAGGCTTTCCCACACTTCTTGCACTCATAGGGCTTCTCTCCGGTGTGAGTTCTCTCGTGTATTCGGATGTAACTGGCGTAACTGAAGGCTTTCCCACATTGCTTACACTCGTACGGTTTCTCGCCGGTGTGAGTTCGCTCGTGAACCCGGCAGTAGCTGAGACAACTGAGGGCTTTCCCACAGTGCTTACACCTGTAGGGCTGCTCTCCGGTGTGCGTCCGCTCGTGTTTCTGGAAGTTGTGGCGATACCGGAACGTTTCTCCGCACTGTTTGCACGCGTAGGGCTTTTCGCCGGTGTGGATCCTTTCATGCTTGCGAATGGACTGGCAGTGCTTGAAGGCTTTCCCACAGTGCTGGCACTTGTAAGGTTTCTCGCCGGTGTGAGTCCTGACGTGTACGCGGATGGACTGGCGATGTTTGAAGGCCTTCCCACACTCCTTACACTTATAAGGCTTCTCTTCGTATTCCTGGTACTCGTACAGTTTGTGGCCAGTGTGGGAGAGCATGTGCCTGCTGAAGGATGAATGATGCCTGAACGCCTGTCCACAGAAACTGCATTTACGGAGTTTGATTCCGGTAGAAATCTTCTTTATCTGCTTAGGACTTGGATTCTGGCGGCGGGGGTCTCCGCGCTGACTACCTTCTTTACTTTGACAGGGACTCTCTACCACGCGCCTGCCGGAGAAAGGAGAAGCAGGTTATTAACGGTTTATTAGGAATTTCGCATTCACTGTATTATTGCAATGAGACTTTTTTTTTTCCGCCATTTTCCCAAAAACACCGTGTATGTGTTTCGTGCTGGTCGTCTGGAAGTGAACGTGTGCTGGGCATTCTGCGAGAGGACTCGATCGCAGCTCTTATCAAAAGAGATGGTCATCAATGGGGTTTCTGAAGACATTTTTCCACGTGTACTATTTTTCACACGTTGAACATCTGGGTCACATTACAGCAAAAATTCTAGATGAAAATATCCGAAAAACGAACAGACTTGAAAACTGGTCTGATTTGTTTTATTTGCTTGTTTGTTTTAATTTCATGACAAACATGCTCTCATGGGACACTTTTTTTTATTTTAATTTATTTATTTACTTTTAAGTAAACATTAAAAAGGTGGGGGGTGGGCACCTGGGTGGCTCAGTCAGTTGGGCGTCTGACTTCGGCTCAGGTCAAGGTCTCCCAGTTCATGAGCCTGCAGCTTGCTCTGGATTCTGTGTCTCCCTCTTTTTCTCTGCCCCTCCCCGCACCTCTCTCTCTCTCTCTCAAAAATAAACATTAAACAGTTTTTTAAAAAAATAACATAAAAGAGGGGCGCCTGAGTGGCTCAGTCGGTTAGGCGTCCGACTTCAGCTCAGGTCACGATCTCGCGGTCCGTGAGTTCGAGCCCCGTGTCGGGCTCTGGGCTGATGGCTCGGAGCCTGGAGCCTGATTCTGTGTCTCCCCCTCTCTCTGCCCCTCCCCCGTTCATGCTCTGTCTCTCTCTGTCTCAAAAATAAATAAAACGTTAAAAAAAATGTTAAAAAAAAATAACATAAAAGAGTTGCATGCTCTCTACTAACTGAGTTGGCCAGGCACCCCCAGGGACACTGCTCTCATATGAGTGGGACTCACCTTCGATTTGTCTCATGTTCATACAGACTTTTACTGTTACGATCTTCCCATTTGTCTCCTACAACGCAGACCAGGAAAAATCAATTATAAAAAAATACTAAAATTATTTTAGTTTCTATGTCCCTGATGAACCGTCACCATGGCTGCTTCATTTACCAACGTATCTGCTTTCCGCACTTAACCTCTCGAAACAGCACCGATAAACAAGCAACACTGGCTCCCTAGTTGATTAAGTGAATAAGAATATTGACCAAGCAAATAAGAATATCGTCATCCCTACCTACTGAGGCCAGGTTCCTGAAGGTTTCCTGCATCACATCTCTGTAGAGTTTCTTCTGGGAAGGATTCAGAAGAGCCCACTCCTCCAGGGTGAAGTTCACAGTCACATCCTCAAAGGCCACTGAGTCCTAAAACATCCCATACATGTGTACAGGGGGATGGGTAAGACGGGCAGAACTGGCGATCTATACTCAATTCGTAAGAAATTCACATACGACCCTGACTTCTCAACATTTATTCTACGACTTGGTTCTCAGACTCCTCCTCTCTGGCCACACTCACGTCCTCATGAATTTAACAGCATCACGAACACACGGAATTTACTGCTACATTTTTACGGTGATCACTTCAAATCTTCATTGCTCTCTACTGTCAGGGAACAGAACACCTTGGAGAAACGCTACAGAATCGGAAGAAATATTTCCATCTTAAGACCATCAATTCTTTGTGAGAAAAACTTTCATCTCCTTAAATAACCACATCAGGTACTACTCCATGAAGCCTGGGGTCATAAGTGCACGATGTTTTATGAACAAAAACAGGAAAAAAAAAAATGGAAGCTTTTTCTCCTATTCCCATCCCCAAACATGAGGAGCCAGGAGGATCCAAACTATCGAAAGATCGAGCTGGCCATAATGTCCTAACGTCCTGCAGGCCATTGCAGTCATATCCAGCTAGATGAACAACAATACTCTCATAGAAGAGTACAATTCTCATTTGTATAATATTTATCACGGAAATCAGTTTTGCCTTCCATGCTCTGTCTCATTTCACGGACCATGATGATATTCGGAGGACTCAACTCAGACGGGAGTAAAAGACATGACAACTTAGACATCCCCAAAATCCATATACTAACGAGTCTCAGGGTTGCCTCCCATTAATTTTTAGGACACAAAGGCACACAGACCAGAAGAGATTTTCTGACAGAATCATAACTGACCAGGGCCTTGTGACCTTGAGGAACACGTGAAGGCCTGGAGTTTGCAAGGGACTTCGCCGAATTCCACACCAGTACTGAAGATGTATGTGTACGGGATATGACACAGAGTCCAAAAATCTCATCAAATCCCCTTTTTCTGATTCCTGGTGCAACGGATACCCAACCAGCCATTTGAGAGGCTTTCCTCCCAACTTCTCTCATTTCCGAGTTCCTCTGTTGGGAAGGCAGGACAACAGTCTATCCAAGCACAGGAATCCCTCAATGGATTAATTCCCCTAAATGCTGGTCCGTGAAAGAGATCAGTAATTCAATGATGTCCATGTCTAGGGAACAGCGAAAACGTCCCACCCAGCAATTCTAATGCTAGAATGGACGGATTCAGTAGAGTGACAGCAAATGAGGAACATTTCTCAGGGATTAATGAGGTGCCTCATGACCAGTAATGAACTGGTCAGTCATAATTATTCTTTCCACCATGGAACTGCAGAGCACGTTCATAAAAAGTCCTATTATCTAGTGTGCAGAAGAGAATGAACATTAGGAAGCCAGAGATTGCTTAGAAAGCCTTAGAGTGGCGCCTGTGTGGCTCAGTCAGTTAAGCACCTGACTTCAGCTCAGGTCATGATCTCCTGGTTTGTGAGTTCGAGCCCCGTGTCGGGCTCTGTGCTGACAGCTCAGAGCCCGGAGTCTGGAGCCTGCTTCGGATTCTGTGTTTTCCTCTCTCTCAAATTACAGAGATAAAAAGTAGTCATTTAAAGATAGGTACAGGGGCACCTGGGTGGCTCAGTTAACTGACTCTTGATCTCAGCTAAGGTCTTGATCTCAGGGTGGTGAGTTTAAGCCCCAAGTGGGTGTAAAGCCTACTTTAAAAAAAAAAAAAAAAAAAGGGAAAAAGGTCCATAATATTCTATGCTTCTCAACAAGGCCCATCCTCAAGACAATCTATTTCACAAGAGTATAAGTGACCAGGACCGTCCCAAGGCCTATTCGACCTGGGAGGAGGGAAACAGCCAACTTAAGTCCCTTCTAGCCTTATCATCTCCAGAAGGTGGAGTGCTTCTTCTGAGGATGACGAGGTTTTTTTCCCCCTCGTGACACCAAATATGTGATGTCTGTCCCAACACCACTTCTCCAATTCTATGTCACCAAACGGGTGTCTAACAGTTCAATTCACTTACAACACTAACACCCAGAGTCCACATCAGACTCCATAGGTGAAGAGTTCAGTCCCACACACTGCCCCTACTTCGGACGCTGGCTGTGACACTTCTGCTCGGCCGCCCACACATTTGGATCCCCTCCATGTGCCATCATGTGCGGTAACTTACATGACACAGACAAGAGGTAGTGATGCCAAGTCAGGTGGTCATACGCCTAAGGGGAGTGGGGGGGGGGGTTTGTAGAGCTGCCCCCTCCTCTCCGGACACGCCAACCTTCTAGCACCTGGATGTAGGTGTTCACCCACCTGGACACCCCCCGAATTGGGTCTTCAAGGGTTTTCGTGGAGATTTCATTCAATGGACACAATTTATGAAATCTCTGGCCACTGGTGATTAACTCACTCTCCATAGCCCGTCTTCTCTCTCCAGATGCTGGGAGCTGGGGCTCAAAGTCCCAAGCCCTTAATCAAGGCTTGGTGTTCATGGTGTGTTCAACCCTCACCCTGCTATGTAGTAGCAGTATATATTTGTATTTACATTATACTAGCACCTGGATGGGACTGACAATCTCCCTAATTGGGTCTTCAAGGGTTTTCGTGATTCAATGGACACACAATTTATGAAATCTCACCGGTGATTAACTCACTTCATAGCCCGCCTTTCTCCGATGCTGGGAGCTGGCACAAGCCCTAATCAAGGCTTGTGTTCATGGTGTTCAACCTCACCTCATGTAGTAGCAGCATATTGTATTTTTACATTATATATATAGAGTATATATATATATATATACACATATATATATATATGTTTATCACATACATGTAATATATAAGGGAAAAAAAATACATACAGCATATATATATATATATATATATATATATATATATATATAAAGGGGCCATGCTATTGCTGAGTGGCTCAGTTCGTTGAGTGAGCATTTGATTCTTCACCGTCATATCACAAATTATGAGCTGAGAAGCCTGTGGGCTTTGCTGTCAGCACGAGCCCACTGCAGATCCTCAGTCTCCTCTCTGCTCCTCCCCGCCAGACTTCTTTTCTTTTCAAAATAAACACTAAAAATGTTTTAAAAGACACGATCATGCCTTGGTGGTTTAGTCAGTCTGACCAGCTAGGTCATGACTGCTGTCCGTGAGTTCACCGTTAGTTTCAGGCTGACTGCCTTAGAGCCTGGAGCCTGTTTCGATTCTGTGTTCTCCCTCTCTCTCTCTGACCTCCCCTCACATATGCTCTGTTCTCTCTTGTCTCAAAATAAATAAATGTGAAAAAAATTTTTTAATTAAAAACAAAGATCACCAACACCCCATCAGGTGGTAAGTCTCCAAGGGCTTCAAGAGGTTTTGTGGGAGCCACCGGTGTGGTAATGTGAGCCGTTATGGCCTGTCCCCAGGGATTAACGCCTTCAGGTATGCTTCAGGCTCGCCAGGCCTCAGGGTGGCGACAGCAGCCTGAGGCTGGTGGAGCTGCCCCCTGCCCGGGCTGGAAGTTGCTGCACCCCCAGGCCCATTTCTCAGCAGCTGTGGCCATCTGCCGCCTCCCACCTCCAGGAGGACTGAATCCCCTGCCAAGCCTGAGGACCATTTCCACCGTAGCTGTCCCAAAGTCGCAGCCAGAGGCCAACCTGCTTTCTTGCATATATCCGCGGGTGTGGCTCCTTTGTGCACGCTGGATGAGTTTCCACTCAGCTCTCCAGCCTCCCAAGAGCACTAGATACGCCACACCTGACCAGTAACATCGGCGACTGCAGCTCGTCTCCCCCGCGCTGCCAGCACCTCCATCGGTACTCAGGAGGCAGCAAGCGCACCACCCTCCGGGCCCCTGGGCCGTTTCTTTTGACCGTCCAGGAAGGCCGGGTGGGGCGGGTAGCTGTAAATAGCCTTGTCGGGCCAAGTGCTTGGACTCAGTCCGTTGCCTGACTTCGCCTCAGGTCATGATGTCATGGTCCAGGAGTTCCAACCTCAGATCAGGCTCTGTGTGCTGACAGCTTGGGAGCCAGGAGCCTCCTTGGATTCTGTGTCTCCCTTCTCTCTCTCTCTCTCTCTTCTCTCTGCCTCAACAGCTCACATCCTGTCTCTCTCAAAATAAACAACATTGGTATGCTTGGTGCAGTCGGTTGAGCCGGCCCCACTTCAGCCAGGTCACCATCTCGCTGTCCCGGAGTTCGAGCCTGGGCTTCCTGGCTCTGGCTGATGGCTCGAGCCTGGAGCCTGCCCCAGGCCCCTCTGCTCCTCCCCCTGCCTGTTTGCCTCCTCTGTCTCCAAAATAAATAAACGTTGGAAAAAAAAAAATTAAACAACATTAAAAAAATTTTAAATAAAAAATACCTTGTGGCTTTTTTGCTATCATCTCCTTAAAAACCATATCTACAGCATCTACAGAGTTCAAACCTGTGTTGTGGGCCTATACTAAGAGAGTAAGGAAAGCTGAAGGAAATGTTATTTATTAAAAGTCAATTAATACTTTTTTTTTTTTTTAAGTTTATTTACTTATTTGAGAGAGAGAGAGAGAGAGAGAGAGAGAGATCGCTGCAGCGCATGCTGCCAGCACACGCCGAGGAGGATCGTTCAAGACTGTCAGCAAAGGAGCCCCATGCAGGCTTGGAAACTCACGAGCGTGAGATCATGACCTGAGCTGAAATCAAGAGTCAGACACTGAATCGACTGAGCCAACCAGGCACCCTTCACTTTCTAAAGATCCACACAAGAATACAGAACTCATTCTTTTGAGGAAAGCGACTAAAGGCAATTCAATAGAAAATGTAGCCTTTAGCTGCTAATATATGCAGGAAGAACCAGACATCCATAAACATACACAAAGAATCAGACACAGATTTTACATTTCACAAAAATTAAACATGGATCTCAGCCTGCTAATGGAGGTGACAGGGGCATGCATGGGCTTGGACTATCCCAGGGACTTGGTGAGGGGCAAATCCAAGCCACTAATGTGCCGTGACCAAAGCTAGTGCGAGTGCTACCGGGTCAGTGAAGTCTACTACCCACCGACCAGTCTTGAAACAGGACCAAGAAG